ATTTACTCAATTCAACATATTTATCCAATTGACCCAATTCACCCTACTCTCACAATTCACCCTACTCACATAATTCACATAACTTACTCAATTCACCCTACTGCCACAATTCACATTATTTACTCAATTCACCCAATTCACACAATTCACACAATTCACCCAATTCACAGAATTCGAACTAATCAAACAATTCACCCAATTCACCCAATTCACTCAAATACACACAATTCACTTACTTCACACAGTTCTCATTTTCTTTTTCGTGTGAGTCAATCTACTATCCTGCCTTGCTTTCAATCTCGAGGCCTGTTCTGTCTTCAAATGGTTTCAACTGCAGTTCCCCCATCTCAAAGCCTTCTCTCCTCTCCTCTCTCCTCTCCTCTCCTCTCCTCGCTACTACTACTTCTGCTACGGCTTTAGCTTCATTCTTAGTTGCTACCCTTCTCCTGCGACTTGCTCGACGATCACGTGCGACTGTCACGTCCAAACGACGTACACCACCAACCTCGCCGCCGATGCGACATGCACGTGCGTCAAGTGGAGTGGAGTGGAGTGGAGTGGAGTGGAGTGGAGTGGAGTGGAGTGGAGTGGAGTGGAGTGGAGTGGAGTAGAGTGTGTAAGTGGCGCAAGTGTGCTGCCTCGTGATGCAGACAAGTGACATGACACAGCCACTCCCGCCAGCACCAACCTCGGTCGCCAGGTCGCCTCAGCTGATCTGGCCGAGCGAGCCAAGCGGTACCTGCCGACGTGTTCTCACGAGTCCTCCGCATCAAGCCATGCCTCAAACTGCTTCAACCCACATGCAAGTCAGCAACCAAACGAATGTGCCTGTTGCAGGCGAATGCCACGTCGAATGCAAGCTTGCTTCACCGGCAATCCCACTGCGACAAAATGTGATGCGGGTAGAGACCCGGCTTTCTCTCTCTTTCTCTCCTGTCCTGTCCAGCTCGACTTGACTAACCCTTTCTCTCCAGCCCACCCAACGGGAACCACTCCCCAACAATGACATCTCAGACGATTCATCCAAACCCAATTACTCTTCAGCTCTCACTTTATGCCACCTCGTCTGACCCGACTCCATAAAGCAAGCCCTCTCCGCACCACGACTTGGCGACGGCACAAGCAAGAATGGAACACGACAAGGAAACCCTTCCTCCGCACCCACCGTCACGACTCTTCGTCACTTGTCACGGCTTGTGTGGCGGAGGCGTTGCAATGAAGCAGCAACCTCCTCCAAGCAATCGGCTTCAGCGACCTAAAATGATTCCATTCTTATTCACGCATTGTCGACAGTCACTCTTCGTGAAGACGAGCAGCCAAGTTGAGTAAGAAGATGGCAAGTGCATGTCTGAGATATGGTCACTATTTTGTTTAAGGTGTGGAATTTTCCATCTTTAAGTATTGTTTTCGAGACTACCAGTAAATTAGTATTATGAGATGTATTCACTCAATTTCGTCTAAGCCGATGAAGGACTGGTAGTAAAATTATCCCACAATCATATGAGTTGAGCTGACGTTTCCATTCAATTTCACATATTTTTCGAATTAAGTATTCTTTTCGTGACTACTAGTAAATCAGTAGTATGAGATGTATTTACCCAATTTCGTGTAAGCTGATGAAGGGCTGGTAGAACACTAATCGAGCAGCCTATTGGCTCGGCAATTTGCCAGGTTGCTAGGCTTATCGGCGAGGCGATGATAAATCCGCCCGGAGCGGCACGTATTTTGTCAAACTTACTGAGACTGCTATTAAAGAATAAGTAGTATAAGATGTATTCACCCAATTTCGTTTAAGGTGATGAAGGATTGGTAGTGGAATGTTCCCACAATGCTATGAATTTCACAGAGCATTGCTTTCCCTTTACTAAAATACAAAAAATAAGTAACGTTGTCGATTGTTATTGAAAATATACGTTTGCTTCATCGGCAATTCCACCAAAGAATATGATATGGCCTTCCTTGAAATTCACATTTGCCCTGTGACCAGAGGACAATCGTGGCAATGTGGTCAAGTGGTCGGCGTGTCAAGCTACCGTCCTGCACTTTCGTGGTTCGAGTCCCGCTGAGGGTGTTGATAAGACCGAGGTGAGATCAAAGCTTTAGTCCACTCCGGCCTGGATGAGAATACCGTTTAGGAAAGCAAGCAAATGTCCACTCGACTCATAGTATTGTGTGAAAATTCTTCTTCTACCAGTCCTTCATATTGCTGAATTCGCACACAATCAGATGAGCTGGCGCTATGTGTGAATCGAATTTCATACAGATTTGATTCCCAAAATAGTTTCTCATCCCGGCCTCTCTGGATTGAAGTTTCGACCTCGCCTCGATCTCGTCAGCATCCCCAGCGCGAGTCGCACTCGCGTTTGGTGGTGCAGCGCATAGCCTCAACAGGTTATTCACCACGCCACATTGCCACGCCTGACCTTGAGTCACAGGGCGGGTGTGAATGCCACTCGTTCTTTCCAAGAAAATTCAACTATCAGTCCACCGTCGGTTCAAACTAAAAAGGGTAAATTCATCTCATACAAATGATATACCGCCAGTATCGAATTCCTACTCATGAAGGGAAAAATAGGCAATGTGGTCGATTGCGTTATGCTTCTTCGACAATCCCACGACCGAGTGTGGCATGGGAAAATCACATTTCTCCTGTCATTTAAGGGCACTCGTGGCAGTCTGGCGTGATGGTTAAGGTGGCAAGATTACAGATTGCACTACCACGTCCCAAGTTCGAGTCCCGCTCTGGGTGGTGATGTGACTAGTTCATACGCGTTCTGTGTGAAATTCAGTCGAAGCATGAGGCCTAATCATGAGATTATGGGAAAATTCAACTCCCAGTCATTCCTCATTTTATACGAAATAGAATGAATAAATTTCACATATATGATCTACTGGTTGTCTTGACGACCTACCTGTAAACGAAAAATAAATAAATGTTTGCTTCGTGTCCTCTTTGAATTTAGGTGTGTTTGAGAAAACGCCTAAATCACATCTTCCCTGTGCTCCACTGGAATACGCGACCGCTGGGCCGATGTATCAATTGTCACCTCTTTGCACACACAAGTCGGTTTCCAGTCCGGCTGTCGGCGCTGACGAGAGGCGGACGAGAACGATGCTTGTGGAGACTTCCATTTGGTATGAAAGGGTAGCTGATGAAGAGCTTCGTAGGTCGATCTCGGCGGAATACGACGAATTATTGCTGTTGCCATGCAGCCGTTTTGAGTGACCTTCAAGTTCAGTTGAAGATATGACGACCAAAGTGGTATGACCTCTGGCATGGCCGAAATATCCTTTCGATTCTCGGAAGTGGGTTGACCTCGTTGTCGCAACTTGGTCTTGTTGTCATGGCGATTTAGTAGAACTCACCCAGTCCGAAATCGTCTGCCATACTAGTTGTCACGAGTCCCAGCATCGGACAGTGGACTTGGTACATTCTCAAACCAAGAGACAAGTGAAATCAATCCTTCCACGTACGTTCTGGCGAAAACTGTTACACTATCACTTCTCTTTCTATCCTGTCGTGTCTATCTACTCTTTACCCTCTTATCAAACTCTCGCTCTATCACAGCAAGAAGAGTGATAATGTAACCGTTTTCGACAGAACGTTTGTCGAGGGATTGACTTCACTTGTCTCTTTGTCGAATTCGTAGCTTTGTCCGCAGGATGACAAAAATCACTGATGACGCCGGCGAAACGTTTGACAATGTACCAAGTCCACTTTCTGGTGATGGGAATCCAGACAATTACTATGGCAGACGACTTCGGACTGGATGCGTTCTACTTAGTCGCCATGACAACAAGACCAAGTTGCGACAACGAGGTCAACCCTCTTCTTTAAAGTTCAGGTTGACGCAGTCCTTGCTCGTTTCAAGTGAAGGCGGGCTCAACTTTCGTCTGACAGTCTCAGAACAGGGACTCATTCTTTCTAAGGTTTTAACCCAAAAATACTATGCGGCTCTAGCCCACATGACATAGTTACTGAGAAATAAAAAACTAAAATAACCACACACGGATAAATAAATACAGCATGACTTGACCAGTTATCTCTCACATCAAACAGAGCACTTGTACTTGAGTGTGTGTGTGTGAGTGTGTGTGTTTGTGTGAACGTGGATGAGTGGATGTGTACATGTTGGCGAGAGGCAGGGCCAAGTGTGGTTTGCCCATCCATTTGTGGGAAAAGCCAATTGTCTGAACGATTGTTCATTCAGGATTTAGCGATTGCCTCGAGGTCTAGTCGCATCGAAGGTGTTGCGTGATTCTTTGGCAATCCGCTTTCCTTCGAATATAACAACGGATCATCTTCAAAGAGAACCTATTTTGTGCGTTGGCCGAGCCAAAATTGAGGCTAACTTTAGAACGCACGAGGTTGCGACTGCAACGTTCTTGCACTTTTATGGCTTGTCAACTCCGGAGAGGTGTAGAATCAAAGTGGCACTCGAAAACGCCGAAAGCAAATACGCTCCGCTCCCCGAGTTCCACGACTCGGCGTCGAG